GACACAAAGACTATAAAACTCAGCTCCCGGAAGTGCGCAGCCGCGACATCTTATTATCTTATTTTCCTTTGGAGAACCTGGCAGGCTACCAAAAGTATCCTGCCCGCACGGCAGAGTCTGGCAAACTTCCTGTGTCGTATTCAATATGCCAAATACCAATAACAATGATGGGTCTCATTCTCCTAATCCTGAAAGAGCATTGAAATGGCTCTTTTAAAATCTCAGGGCTAGGAAGGAGACGTTACTGGTGCCTGCTCGAGGAAATCGACAACAACAGGATGATCGTGATCGTGATCTCCACCTCCACAGCTCTCCACTCCTGACATGCCAGGGTTTGTGTTCACTGTTTGACTGTCAAAACCAGGCATGCAGAGAGATGTTGGTGCTTACACTGCTGTCTCTCAGCACCCTGCAGCTCAAAAGTGGGTTCAAAATGTTTTCTGTGCGGCCAGAAATACAGGAGTTAAGGTGCTTGCTTTGTAGGCCGCTAATCCTAGTTGGAATCCCTAGCACATTTGGTTCCTCTGAGCACCAACAGGGGTCACTACTGAGCAGAGAGCCACGAATAGTCCCAGAGCCATTCCAGGTATGGCCTGAATTCCCCCCAACCCCAACAAATTCTGTTTTCTATACAGTTTATACTGAGGCAGAACCATTAATGAACAAATACATCTCCTTTGCCGATGCAAGGCTTTTACCAAGAAAGGAATGGCAAACATTTTATAGAAGGCACCTCTTTAGGGCTGGAGCAATAGCACAGTGGGAGGGTGTTTGCCTTGAACATGGCTTACTGAGGTTCAGTCACTGGTAACCCATATGGTTCCTCAAACACCGCAAGTAGTAACCCCTGAGCATCACCGGTGTGGCCCAGAAATTTATAAAAACAGAAGGCTCCTCTTTAAAGAAGGCCAGATTGCAAAGAGGCACTTAAATCAGTAGACAAATATAACTTGGAGATAAATATCAAAGGAGAGGTGCTAAATGATAGCTCAGGATGGTAGGCTGCCTAAAATCTATAAATTCATGGCCCAATTTTTCTTTTACTGAGTGGGGAAAGAGCTGGAGAGGAATCTCAGGGTGAAAAGACCTCACAAAATGCCTTCTTATTTTCACAACACTCACCTCACACCAACCAAGTTCTGACTGTTTCTCTTAAGGCTGCCAACCCCCAACCCAAGACGTCCTTTGTAAGACATGCACTCTCAGAGGAGCCACGTCTCCAAGTCCTGAGTCCAACAAAGTCTTCAAAACTTGAGCTGACATTTAGGACAGCATTATATGACTTTATTATCTTATGAAATGATTCATTCCAAAATAACTTTGAAGTATTATTGTTTAGATCTGGGTTATTTTTTTAAATCAAAATACTTGTATAATAAGGGGGATTTGTTTCAAATCACCCTCTCTTTACATGGGTCATACTTCAATAAAATCTGGGGAGTGGGAAGAGGAGAGAGGCAGACACAGCTGGAATTGTGCATGGAGAATGACTAGGACTACTTAAGGTCAGAGCAATCATGAGCTGATAATTGTTGGATCTCGGTAATGGGTATGTGGGTAGGAGTAGTGGGTATGTGAGTAGAATGTGGTAGTATGTGGGTAGTCTTTTTATAGTGTCTTCCGATGTTTGTCTACCTTTTAAATTCTCCTTAATGAAAAGTTAAAGGAAAGCCCTGACTACCTCAAGGGAGTCTCAACACTGGAGTTCATAGCTGGCAAGTTCTTGGGGCTAAGAGGGTCTAAAAGTGGAGGTGCAGACTAGATACTCTCCTGGCAAAATAACCGCGTGTGGGCCAGCAGTATGTGCATGAGCATGCATGTGCATGCTTACAAACACACACACACACACACACACACACACACACACACACATACACCTGTCCCACCCACTGACCCCAGTACAGCCTCCCTCCCTGACTCGTACCCCTCTTCTGTGCAAAGAGCAGCAGCAGGCAGGTGAGACCTTTGAGCACTTCGGCCATGACCACAGCAGTGGTGGCAAAGAAGGGGTCCCCAGGCAGCGTACGGGCGTAGCGGATGCTGAGAATGAGGGAGGCATTCTGGACCACCAGCACAGCTAGGGAGATGTATTTGAGGCGCCGGTGAGCTGTCAGGGAATGGAAAGAACAAAGGAAAGAAGTGGTCAGAAGCAGCTGGGCACAGCCACACCCACTAACCACCCTCCACCTCTTCTTTCTCAACCCGGATCTTACCAGCTGCTGCTACTTCCTCCCTTTGGCCGCCTTCCCCCACCACTTTGCAGGAGAAGGAAAGAAAGAAGTGGGGCCCCACCCCTCCCAGCCATACCTAGAATCCTCCAGAGTTATCAGGAAATGGCTTGGGGCTGGCCTTGTGGCCTCATTCCTTTTCCCTGGAGGCAGCTCTCTTCTGGACAGAAAACCAACTTCATTCAACATGTTTATGGAATGCTTACTGCCAGCCTGTTGCTTGGCAGAGTGGGGTTTATATGGGTCACCTCAAGAGACCCCTGTCTCACTCTGAGCTCCAAAGGAAATATAATAAGTAATAAGTATCCCCAGTGCACAGAGGAGCACGGGGCAGATTTGTAGGAACCGACGCTGTTTAACTCAGTAGGACTTTTCTCCGGGACAACCTGATTCCCTCTCTTGGGTTAAGGCATGGCCACCCCATTAATGAATCCAACAGCAAGTAAGTCACCTCCTTTCTCTGAGAATGGTCCTACTAACCCTTCCTTCCTATGGTGCAGGCCTCCTCCAAAGCCAGTATGGTCCCATATGGAAAAGAAATTATTCCCCTACTGGTACAAGGATCAGACCCCATATAATGAATGGTTACTTCACTGGGTATGAGCTGGATCCCTCCAAGAGGAAAAGAAGGCCCTCTCTGTGTACCACATGGTTCACTCAGCCCCCAACACTTCCCTCTATCCCCTGTCGTCAGCCAAGGCATTATTCTTTGTTCTACAGTCTCCCCATACCCTCAAAATGCTTTTATCTCCACCCACGACGGGTCCCTCTCCTCCCCTCTACAATGAACCCTGCCTCCATGAGGGCCCCCCAGAAAAGTCTTCTCACCTCTAATGAACACTCTCGTGTTCAAAATGGGTTCTCTGTTAAGTCATACAAATACAACAGCCCCTTCGTCTAAGAAACCACCACCCCTCAGATAAACCTCTCGCTTCTGGAAGGAAAGACCAAGCTGACACACACCCCCTGAATGCTCTGAACCCCTCCGAAAGGAAAGAGCCGCCTTTCCCTCTAGAAAGGGCTCCACTTTCTATATGCTATATGCACAGGGGGCCTCCCCCCTCAGAATGGTTGCCTTCCCGTTCCCCCCACATATACACAATGGCGGGTTCCACCCTCCTACACACTCTCCACCACACACCTCACTTCCCACCACCGCCACACACACATACACACACAAGCAAACAGCAGGTCCCTACCGGATGCTCCCCCTCGTTCCAGAGGAACCGTCCTGACCCCGTAGCGCTCGCGACCCCCGCACTTCCCCACAAGTCTGTCTCACCCGCACTGGCGGTCCCGGGTTCCAAGGTCCCAGTGGTTACCGCCCCAGGACCAGTCGCCGCCGAGGAACCACCAGACCCAACCGCTGCCATGTTGGCATCTGCCGGGCCCGTCCCCTCGGCAACAGCAGGCCACTTCCGTGGTCGTCATTTCCGCTTCCGTTCCCGAGGTGGGCGGGACCGGCGGGGGCGTTCCCCATCAGCTCCGGAAGATGCTGATTGGACAGCGCCGGCCTTCTCCCAAGCCTTGGCCACGCTTCACCGACCCGCTTCCACCACTAGAAGCCCCCGGAGCCTTTCATTCCCCGGTCTTAGTCGGCTATCCGCATTTCATTTGCTTTAATTTTATCCTTTCCGGCTGGCTCTAAGCTTAGATTTTGCGAAAGGTCCATACACTACGATGCTCAGGAACCTCCAGCTCAGTGTTCTCAGTGCTGCTCCTGGCAGTGCGCAAGGAACCATGCAGTATTGGGGATAGAAACCGAGTTTCCCGCGTGATTAGCAGGCACTCCTTGAGCCATCTCTTAGGACTTGCTTTTCCACAGAAGTCTTGAGCTGGGAGGCTCCCTCCTCCGCCCAACCCCATCCCCTGGCCGCCCCTACAGGTTAAATTAGAGCCCAATACAAAGGCAGTGCAGGGGCAGAATAGTACAGCGGGGAGGGTGATTCCCATGAAGCGTTCGACCCGGGTTCCATCTCCAGTATCCATTAATGGTGCCCCGAGGATCTCCAGGAATGCAGAACCAAGAATAAGGATCTGTTCCTCACACACACACACACACACACACACACACACACACACATAGAGAATGGAGGAAAATGGGTCACCATTACAGGTGAATGCAGAACCAGGAAAGGTACAACTGAGGTCCCCACCAGGGAAATCTATTGCTAATAATAGGGGAGGTAAGTGGTGAGGGAAATGAACAGAAAAAGACTGCTGGTCAATTGTTCCTCCTTAAACCAGGGCTGGAGACATTCCTATTAGGGTTCAACCGCAGATTGTACTCCCCGCTTTTCCTCTCCCCCTTGCTCCAACAGAGTGGGTATTTTCTGAGATGATTATGGGGTGAGGAGCAAAGAAATGGGTTTTTCTTGCGTCTATGGTGATGTTTGTGGATGTGTCCCAAACATCTCCAATGTATCTAGTACCTGAATACAGCCTATCAACACATACCACATACTCCACACAGCCAAGGGAAACAGGAGGTGGGGAGGTAATAGTGTTTTTTACCACTCAGCTTGACTGAATCTGTAGCCCTTCTTGCGAGGGCACTGCTGCCCTGCCACATGTTGATAACCCCGTGGAGAGCCAGTTCAATTCCCAAGTCTTGGCTCTACCAAAGGCAAGATTTGAAGCTGGCTCCACAAGTCACTTCTGATTCTGACATTTATTAAATAGTGGGTTTCCAAACATGGCTTTTTAAATAATCCAGGCAGGGAGGAGATGGGAAAAGGGCAGAGTTGGAACTCCACCCTCACCTCCAATACACTAAGTATTTACATTTCAGCAACTGGACAAGCCTGGCTCAGAAGGAGGCAACAAGTATCTAAGTAGGTATGTATGGGGGTGGGAGAGAACAAACAAGACTTTATTTCCTTCACCCCATCCCACCAAAAGCCATCAATCAACCCCTTCGTAGTGGACTCTGGTGCTGTCCATCTCCCATTCCTTCCCCTAAAATCACGGAAGTAGGGATCACTTTATCAGAATAAGAGCACTTGGGATAACACACAAAGGTCCCTTCATCAAAAAGGGGGTGGGGAATGGAAGCGAGAGCATGATCCCAGGGAAAATGAGAGGGCATTACCTCCCCCAGAATAAGCAACCCTGGGCTGAGGTAGGTGAGCAGCCTGACTGAATGAACGATCCTAGGCTAAGAGTCCCTTTGTGCTGGGGAAGTGGAAAGAAAGCACCCTTGCCCAAACAGCAGTAGAACTAAATCCCCATGGTAGTAGCAGGTAGGTTAACTTGAGCAGCTACACTTCAACAGAGACAGAATCCCGGGGTGGGTGTGGGGAGGTAGGGGCTCAGAACAGACAGGAACATGGACAAAATCAACATCTCTAGCAAAAGAAAAAGCACTGAAATTCCCTCTCCAGAAGAAGAGACCACAAGATCTGGGAGGAAGGCTCCTTGCAAGGATTGGGAGGGGGGCTGGGACAGATTTGGCTTAGGTCCTTCTGACCCCTATCCCCCAATCTCTGACCCTATAACACTGGATTTGTAAAGACCTGTAAAACCAAGTCAACCGATGTTGGTCCATCTATCCCTGTGGCACGACCATGGGATGGCTATTCCAACTAGGGGTGAGGGGTGGGGGTGGGAGAGAGCGGTGGGGGGCCTGGCCACGACTATGGCAACAGGGACCAAGCTAGAGGGGTGGGACCCCCTTTGGGGGCATCATCAAGAGATTTGTCTTCGACTGCTGCCTTCATCCAGGGGTCCATCAGGATCTCCTCCAGCGAAGGACGTGCAGATGGTTTGGAGGCCAGGCATCGGCGAATTAGGGCACTGCAGTCTGTAGGTGGGAAGCAGACAAAAGATCAGCAATCAGTTCTAGGGGCAGCAATCAGAGGGGGTGGAGTACGTAAGGTCAGGACACATTCTTACCAGAGGAGACATGGGCTGGAAAGTGGAGCTCAGCCTCCAGAATCTCCTGGTCCTTCTCGAACGGGATGTCCCCACATACCATATCATAGAGGAGGATGCCCAGCGACCAAACTGTGGCCGGGAGGGCATGGTACTGGTGACGGGAGATCCACTCAGGGGGGCTGTACACCCGTGTCCCTGTTCACAAGTCAGAGGGTAGGTCACAAGTTCATAATACACTTCTCCCATGCCACCCCGCCACCCTCCCCAGAATTGAAGCTCTTTGTGAGAGCAATAAAGGAATTGTTGGAAATAACAGAAGAGTCCTCTCAGGAGGATACAAGAACCTGTAAGTAATGGGAGGAATCTCCTTACCGGAGTAAGAGCCCACTTAAAATAGGGTCCCTTTACCAGGATTAAGAGCCCACAAGACAGTCAGGGTTCTAAAAGATCACTGGGCAAAGCTTAGTTAGGAATCCCTGAAATTAAAAAATGAAGGCTCCACTAAAGGTGAAATACAGATCAAGATTGACAGGACAGCCCAGTACTGGTAGACACAAGTCAAAAGGTCATAAAGATAAGGAGAGAAAGTTCCTCAGAGATTTAGGAAAGCCTTACCATCAAAGTCAGTATACGGTTCATCATGAAGCAGGGCACCGGAACCAAAATCAATGAGTTTGGCACAGCCCCGGCGGAGGTCCATCAAGATATTTTCATCCTTGATATCACGATGGACAACACCACGGGCATGGCAGTGCCGAACCGCTGCCACTACTTGGGCAAAGAGGCTGCGGCTTCGGTTTTCACCCAGTGGTCCCTGCTCTGTGATGTAGTCAAAGAGATCCTGGGCTGGCAAAGGGCGTTCAAGGACCAGCATAAAGCCCTCTGTTGTCTCAAACCAGTCGAGGAGGCGGATCACACCAGGGTGTCCACCACCGGCACCCACTTTCCACAGCAGGGCCACTTCCAGTGGGCATGTGCCAGAATCAGGCTAAGGAATGCAGGAAGAGAAAGAATGTAGACATTAGAGCAGAAACTGGGCGTATGATTACTCACCCAAACTTAATGCTTAAGCCCGCTAGCTTGGATCAACTTGCTCCCTGGCCTGGGCCTTAGCTTCCATGTTTTTGCTGCTTTTTTTAAAAAAAAATTGTTTTGGGGCTACACCCAGTAGTGCTCAGGGATCACTCCCAGAAGAGTTTAGGGGACTGTAGGATAACACTGTTTTGTCCTTCCTGCATAGGCTCAGGTAGTTTAGGGTTATTGGGTTGCTCCCATCACAGTGCTCCCATTCCTCTGTGTTTATTTGTAACTTCTTTCTTTGTGCTCTGTTGACTTGTAAATATTGTTTTTCTCTTCTCCCTAAGTCCTTTGTATAGTTTACTCAGAGCAATGTCCTTTTTGTATGGACACAAGAAAACAGTATATGCTAGGCTTTTGTAACATGACTCTCAGTGATATTTTCCTCCTGGGTATCTGTTCTCTCGACCTAAGCCTCAGCTGCCCTTACTTCCTAGTGCCCCCAAAAGCAGGGTCCCGATGAGGGACTGGATGAAACCAGGGCAAGCGGTAAGCTATGTGCTACCCTGGCATCGAGATGGGCCTAGCCAAAGTGCCATAATGCTCAACTATAAGTTAAGAGCTTAGGCATGGACAAATGCTGTCATGATCCAAAAAGTAATAACTAGATTTGGATCCTGCTAGGGTTAGGAATCATTAATCTGGCATGAGCGCAGTAGTCTGAGTCTGTGGCAAGATGTTCCCAGGAGAGCTTTCCTACAAGCCTCAATGTTATCTCTTACTGTGTCCATACAAAAATAACTAGTATTAAGATGTTGATAGTTATTGGACTGAGGAGGTAAAAAGGTAAAGGTAAAGGTCCTCCCATTGATCGTCGATTTGCTCAAGCGGGCCCAGTAACGTCTCCATTGGAGACTTTGTTGTTACTGTGTCTGGCATATCGAATACTCTCGGTAGCTTGCCGGGCTCTCCGAGAGGGGCGGAGGAATCGAACTCGGGTCGGCCATGTTGGCCGCTTGTAAGGCAAACGCCCTACCCGCTGTGCTATCGCTCAAGAAAAAAAATACAAAGTATTTTGCCCTTGGGCTGTCAGGAAGGGCTTTGGAATACCTTTTAGGTGGTGTTTCCTTTGAACTGGGGAAGGGCTTTCTTATGTTGATTTATGTTGAATGTCTCAGGAAGGGCTTTCTTATGTTGATTTTGCTACCTGACTGGGCGCAGTGTCAGCCCAGAGTGCTGGGGAGTTGGAGAGACAAGAGAACTGGAGGAGAGATAGCAGGGCGGCAAGATGGAAGGTGGAGAGGCTAGCAAGGGGGACGGAGGGAGAAGAATGTAGAAGAATAAAAAAAGAATGTAGAAGAATACAGGAGCAAGCACATGGAGAGAGCCCAGGCTGTGAGATGGAGTGCGGGAGAGATGGTAAAGACTGAAGGAGATGGGAATGAGAAGCAGTGTGAGATTAGAATTGGGGGGTGGGGGCTCAGAGAGACTGGGGGAGGTGCGTGGGGAGAATGGAATAAACGCCATCTGATCAATGAACCGGCTTGGCCCTTGTCTCCTCTTCCGACTGCCCCATGGCCTGGGCTGCCCTGGCTGGGGGAGCGGCCCGGGCCCACTAGTACCCAGGCGGCTAGAGGAAGAGAGGAAGGCAAGGCCATACCTGCTGTACTTTCATTCAGACCCTTTTGTCATCATTATCCTTTTTCTTTTTTGCTATGCCAGGGATTGAATCCAGGATATCACACATGCAAGGGAAGTGTTCTAACACATCTCCTGGACCCTGCTCTCCCTTATCTTCAAGGTTCAGACTCACATAGTCATTGAGAACACAAATCAAGCCAGAAGCCTACCTACATTTTGGGCTGAGGGGCGGTGGTATATAACTCAGCAGGAGAGCACTTGCCTTGTATAATGTGCTAGGCCTTATGTTCAATCCCAGCATCCACAACAATTAGAGGAGGGATGAAGAGATAAACTAGGGGTTAAGACACGTGCCTTGTACACAGCTAATCCTTGTTACAGGCCGCCCCTAAGTACTGAAATCAAAGGGGCAAAGGAAGATGAGAACGGAAGTAATGAGGTAATTGGGACCAGGGGCATTGGTTATACTGGTGATGTTGAAGACTGGTATTGCTATATAGCCAAAGCACAGATACTACAACAACACTGAAAACATGAGATCTAAACTCTAACCACCAAACTTTTAAATGTGCCTGTCAATGTGGTGTGGGAGAGGGAGCATGAAAACACTGGTGAAGGGAAGGTGACACTGGTGGTTGGATTAGTGTTGAAACACTCCCTAAAATTCAACTATCAATAACTTTGCTAATCATAGTTCTTAATTTTTTTAATTAAAAAAACATAGATGGCTGGAGCAATAGCACAGCGGGTAGGGCATTTGCCTTGCACGCGGCCGACCTGGGTTTGATTCCCAGCATCCCATATGGTCCCCCAAGCACTGCCAGGAGTAATTCCTGAGTGCATGTATGAGCCAAGAGTGATCCCTGTGCATTGCTGGGTGTGACCCCCCAAAAAAGTCAAAAAATAAATTAAAAAATAAAAAAAAATTTTAAAGTCAAATAAAATAAAATCTAAAATAAATGGCTAGACGCTTGGGAGCCTTGTGGAAAGCCAGGTATGAGCCCATGGTGATGGGGCAACTAAAACCTCATGGGAAGGGGGGCGTTCCTGGCTCGTCCTTCACGCCCTACCGAGGTCACCAGTTGCCCCCCACGAGCGGCTCTCCAGCACGGCCATGGCTCCAGAGCACAGAAACCAATCTCTTAATTATCTGACTCTCAGTAGAAATACTTTCAGGATTAATAATAGCAGAAATCCAAAATGGCTATCGCGGCCGCGCGACATCATTTAATTCTTGAACCCAGCTGTAGAAAGCAAATCATTTCACAATGCTTTTTCAGCATGTCTGATTTGGGGGTGTAAACTCTAAATAATAATGGTGCATCTTTTATCGAAACAATGAATCTAGTCAAAGTAGATAGAGTGTTAACTAGAATTCATCTGCCTCACAGGCATTGGGAGGGGTGGGAGGTGGGGGTTTATTGGGGTTCTTCGTGGTGAAAAATAAATATTGGTAAAGGGAAATGTGTTTGATATTTGCATGACCGAGACCTAAACCTGAAAGCTTTGTAACTTTTTCCCACAGTGATTCAATAAATAAATAAATAAATAAATAAAATAAATGGCTAGAGAGAGTACAGCGAGATGGCACTTGCCATGAAACTGGAAGACCTGGGTTCCATCCCCTACATCCTTTATGATCCCCCAGCACCGACGGGAATGATTGCTAAGTGCAGAGACAAGAGTAGTTCCTGAGCACCACTGAATTTGGCTCCATCCTCCAAATGAAGGAGGCATAAATCCTACATAAATCCATCAATTCTAGAAGCTTCACGCGCAGAATCCACCTTCCGCGCAGGGATCAGGTCCTCTAGCGGCCATGACGCCGCATTGCACAGCCACACACCATTTTTCTCACGGTGGAGTTGGCTACTGCGCAGGCGTGGCCATTTTGGAGGCTGAGGCCTGAGACGGCCCCAATCCCGCCAGAGGGCGCTGCCTGACAACCAGCCTAGACCCGCCCTGTTGTCCGGCCGTTGGCGCTCTCCACAGCAGCCGAGAAGCAGCAGCCATCACCATGGCAACCAATGACCTCTGCCCCTCTTTCCCCACCAGCATGCCCTGCGGGCAGCCCCTGAAGCTGAGTTTCCGGAGAGAAAGAGGGGAGGCATTCGAGGGGGCACTCCAAATTCCAAGGGAATTGGGGTGAGCCCAAACCTGGAGGTGTGAATGCAGCTCCGGGAGTCTAGGGCAGATAGGGGTGCTTTCCCATGGTTATGGGACCAAGGAGTCATTTAGGCGCCACATAAGGGGCTTAGGGAGGGCTTGGCAATGGCGCCGGTAAATCTGGAAGGACCCCAGGGGTACTCACCATGGGGGACCAGTCCAGCACACGGTTCCGGGGGATCACTTTGATGGCCACCTAGAAAAAAGGGCCAAGGTGGAGGAGGAAGCAGAGTACACCCCCACCCAGATCCTTCCACTCTTCAACCCTCGCCAGGTGACCACGACATAATCCCATAAAAAGGGGGGCTCATTTAAAAAAAGGGGGTAGGGAGCTGGTTTCGCCAGGACGCCAGCTACCCAGAACCAAGTTCCCCACTCCCCCAGCCTTGGTCGTGTGCTTTTCTCCCAACGGTAGGCAGGACCCCCAGCACCAGGCTTGCATTGTGAAGTGCCTCCCCTCTCCAACCGCCATCCCCCCACCCCCACCTCCAGCTTGCACCATTGCACTCTGAAATACCCCAATTCAAATGGGGTGCCAGGCTGGCGGTCACGACTCCACACCGTCCACCCTCCACCCGTCTCGAAATTTCCCCAAATCTCAGCTCCGCCCCCTCCCCCCCACACGTGCACACATGCCTGCAACCCAGGGTCTCCACTCCTCAATTCCCCACCACGCGCTACAGCTCCTGGGTCCAGCTCCTGGGTCGCGCGCCCCCACCCCTCACCCCCCACCCCCGTATCCCTCACACCTCCTCCAGGGGTGGCGTGCGCCGCGTGGCCCTCTTGACCCCCGCACCAGCCCAGCGGCTCCAAACTCGATTAGCATCGCAGCGCCGGGACTTCCGTTCAGGCCACACACACACATACGCACCCACATCCCAGATCCCCTCCCCCGACCCTCGTGGTGGGTACCTGGAGTCGATCCGAAACGCGGTGTCCGGCGAAGACCGTGCCGAATCCCCCCTTCCCCAGGATGGGTCCAAGGCAGTACTCGGCCTCGAACGCTTCGCGATCCTTGCCTCCTACGCAGGCGGAGGCGAGGAGGTCAGGGTGGCGGCCAGCCGAGCCAGGCATAGAGCCCGGCCGCCTGCGCCCCTCCCCCCACACTGCCCGCCACTGGGGCTGACCCCGCGTGAAGATGGGAGAAGGGCTGCGCTCACCTGGCGGCATGGGGGTCTCAGGGAGCGGTGGAGCCGGCGATTTGGTCAACATGGAGGCAGCGCCGCACATATTGAGCCCACTGAGCCCACAAGAGGCCTGGGGCAGCGAGGATGGAGAGCCAGGGCTGGGGGGCGCCAGGGTGGAAGGCAGAGATTTCGGGGGTCCGGACGGGCCCGCCAGCGGAGCCACGCTAGAATTTGCCGCGTGCGCCAGCCCCAACGATACTGAGCCCGGGCACGCGCTGCAGGAGAGTCGTCCCGGATTAGGGCACCGCCCACTTGGCTTTGATCAATCCGGACGCGGCACCTGCTGTACCCTAGCCAATGGGAGCTTGCCCGTATTTGCATACCACCCTCAGCGTTTCAAGTACCCCTTTTTGCAAATACATGCCCGGATCTTCTGCTCAGGCGGGGCCTGGATGCAAATGAAGGGGGTGAGCACGAAGAGGAAACTGGTTCTGGGAATCCCTTTGCAACCACCACGTTTGTTTTGGTCGTTGCGCAGGTTTTTTTTTAGTGTATGTGTGTACGTGTATATACACTTTTTTTAACTGCACCGCCTTGTTTCCTAGTAGGTTGGTTTGCCACCACTGACTCGAGATCAGCGCGGAGATAACCCCAAGCCTGGCTTCTAAGAAGCCATGCCGGTGGCTATTGGGGACCCTGTCTCAGAAAAGCGGTTCATAACCAGGACAGGAACCCTCCTGGTGACTAGGCCGCCTCCACCCCGAAACTGAAGCTGCGGATCCTGGAAGAACCTGTCCAGCTGCCAGGGAGGGGTAACACTTCTGACCACCACTAAAGAGGAGCTGAGGAAGCTCAGGTCTAAGGCAACGTTCCCACGCCTGGAGGTGCGGCCTGCGGGGGTGTCGTCAGGAGCCCCGGCAGTGTGCCCAGTCAGGTCTAACATCTGGAATGGCTGACGTGGTGGCATTTTGGAGGTGTGCTTCCAGATTGGAGGGACAGGGACTCAGAGCGAGGACGGAGGCTGAGGTGGTAAAAATCACAAACTGGGCAAAATGGAGAGACCAACGCCTAGCATCCTAGGAAGACACGTCCATTCCAAAGACCCGTAGAGAAGTAGTGTTCACCCTCTCTCAGTTAACCCCCATTCTCTCTTTAGCCAGTCTACAGCAGTCTGCAAACACTACCTACAAGAAAATATTTATTTTGGGACTGGAGAAATAGTACCAGGAGGGCACTTGCCTTGCACACGGCCAACCCAGGTTCAATCCCTGGCATCCTATGTGGTCATCATCCAAGAACTTCCAGGAGTAATTCCTGAGCATTACGGTAAGAACACATTCATATAACTTTGGGGAGGGGTACAGCTAATGGTGCTCAAGGAATCATGAGGTGCTAGGGATAGCAACGAGCTCCAGTATGTGCTATAGCCCTCTGAACTATCCCCTCACACTTTATTATAATAAACTGATTACAACGGCACTTTAGTGTTATTGCTTATCTCTTACTGTGCCCCATTTATAAACTAAACTCTCAAAAGAATGCATGTATAGAAAAACAATATATAGGTTTGGGCCCACTGTGATTCAGCCACTGGGGGACCTGAACAGACACCCCACAAAAATGGAAAACTACTGTACTATGTAAGAGACTATCCACCAAGTCCTCCTGTCAGACACATGCCTGTCACCCTGTCCTAGACACACATGCCAACATCACTTGGCAGGCATGCTGCTACAGTTATGTCCCAGAATGACGCCCAGAGACAAGTCTTCTCACCATGCCAGGCATGCCACAGATTCACCAGCCCACACTGCCATCCGAGGACACAGAAAGGTCCCATCAGGCATATCACCAGAATTTGGCACAAACCACCAGCACCTTCAGATAGGTAGTCACATGGACCCTGCAATCCCTGAAACAAGAGGCCCCAAGTTCATCCAGGGTGGACACACAGATGCTCCAAGATACACATCCAATGACCGCTGACCCAATTTACCTGACTGCAGCCCACAGCCTCTCCAGTCCCCCGAAACAGTGTCACAAGAGAGACTTAGAAAGATCCAGTCAAAACCACACAGACACAGCCAGGCAGACAGTGTTGGACCCGAAACAGTACAGTAATTGCTCCCCAGATCCCATCCCCAGATTCCACCCCAGGACTACAAATGGACAGCCCTTCCATCCAAGAGAAACCACAGATGCGCTGTCCCAGACAGACCCACGCAGACATGTACTTCTCTTGGAAACAGACACAAACTGTCAGAGAGGAGAGTCCCACATTCAGTCACCATCTGACACACCTGGAAATGAGCCCTGGTCACACACATGACTAGACACTGAGATCTACATGAAGACTCAAACTATTCAGGCACATAAGAGACAACATCCAGAAAGCAGGGAACAAACATGGACTCGCCAATAATTTATATGCCCCAGATAAGAGGGTCTACTGTAAGGCTGTCAGGTCTTGGAAAGGGTGCCGGTATCAGAGATGCAGCAGTATGTCAGGGACGTGGTTCCATCCATTAGTGAAAAGAATGGTTCCTGGAGAAGGAATCAAAGACACAAATGGAAATGAAAGGGGCCCCACAGAGCTTCTCAGTTACCATCTACCCATCCTGAAAGACAAGGTTGATGGCTTGAGACAGAAGACATGCCAATTTCAGGCAGAGGACAAATGGCAGAGAAACTTCAACATGAGGGTACTCAATGCCACGTGCTGAATCTGAGTCTGTCAAACGCAGCAGCTCAAGTCCAAGTGACCTCAAACACTCTTGAAAGCTTACCACCAGAAAGAATGTAAAGTCACAGACACGGGTCACCCAGTATACACATGTGACAGTTGCAACTCATATAGAACATGCTCTGACCAAGACCACATCACTAGAAAAAGTGGAGAGAGGTTTCAAACCAACACTCCAACATACATACTTGACCAGTGGATTCCAGAGTGACTCCACACACCATTCAACAGCCTCACCTGTAGAGACTACTATATACCCTTCTACAGGGGACCTTGCTATTGAGGCACAGCACAAAGGGCACTTGACACAACCTGAGACAGAACATCTTTCTCTTGCCTTGTCTTAGGAGTCAGAGGACCAGGGATAGGGACAGCGAAGAGAGTTCCTAACTGTTCCTTGGCTTCTAAACACCAGAGGGGGTGGTCCCTCCACTCACTTGCACTGAGATCACGGTGTGCTCATTCTCCTTTCCAAAGCATTTGCTCATCAATGATCCAACAGAAACAGCAACCATTTTACGGGGTGAGACAGGAAGCAGATTAGTTGGCAGTTATACCTTTGTTTCAAGACCAGTACTCTGCTTCCATTACACCCCAGAAAACAGGGCAGGGTGGATTCTATGCTGCATATTCCCCAAGGCAGTGGCAATAGGCAGAAACGGAGCTTTCCTGGTGACAGCAGGTTCCAGAAGGTTGGAGAACAAGCAATGACTCATATATCAACAAACTCTGAATCCCCAGACAGACCTTACTGCAGGGAACGTGGCTCTCATAGTTGAACCCAAGACACACACAATTGCCAATTCTACCCAAAGGCCATCCCACCCCCTGTCCCAGACAGAACAGAGGCGCTCAGGGGAAACTGACATTTGGTTTTATTGTGCCAAGGACATTACAGACGGTGGATCTTGTCAACACCTGCAGGGAACAGGTGCCCCATCTGCCGAGGCTGCTCCCACTCCCCACACTCAAATCCAGGGCGGTGGCCATGATCCTCAGAGATGCCCCCCACCCCAAGACTCCAGCGAGACTGGTGGTGGTGGTGGAAGCAAAAGGAATGCAGCGAGGTCAGAGTCTCATTGTCCAAAGCCCATGTGATACCTGCCCCCTGCCCAGCCCCCCACCCCCCACCCCCAGTCACTCTCAACCCTACCCACACCTCCGGAGAGTGGGAGGTCAGAGACAGCAACCACAACTCTGTGTTGTCTCTGGGCCCCATGGACTGTCTGCAGCCAAACCAGAGAGAGAATTGTCACCCTCACCGAGCCAGTGCTGTTGCCTACATCGTTTTGTGGTAAGTTGATTTTGTAAGATAAAAGTATATTTAGTAAACCAAAAAAATTCAACAATGAAGGCTCAGACATTCTTGGGATATTAGGAAGACGAATTTCCCACCTGCTTCCTTCCACCTCTCTGGGAAAATGTGTAATTGGGATAACAAACTTGTTTGATTTGGGAAGAAAGGGGGTACAAGGAGGCTTTCCTCTGTCTCTCTCCTGGGGTTACCCGCTGCCAGCTGGTTTGTCTCTGTGTGCCTCTTGCCTACCTTCGGCACCCTTGCCCAAGTCCCCTGTGGAATGCAGGGATGTTGCTGTGCAGGGGGCAACAGGGCACGTCAGCTGGCGCAGAGACACATGATGGTGGTGGCAGCGATGAGAGGGCGCAGAGGTGAGTCAGCCAGAGGGAGATGGGGGGAAAAGAGAGGAGGGAGAAGGAAGAAAGCCAAAGAAAGGGAGGGTGGCACCAGAGAGCAAAGTGGCGGGGTTTGGGAGATGGGTCTCCAGTCTCTGGGTCACCATCAACTCTTGTCTGGGGGTGGGTCTCTGTGCATTTTGTTTTTCTTCATACTGTCTAGGTATTCTTGTTGGGACACTGCCAGCACCGATGCCAGGATCTCATCATCATCCCAGTCATTCAGACCTGCTGGGCGAGAAAAGGGGTAATGAGACACTCTCCAGAAGCCTTCTCGCCCGTCCCTGACCCTGAGCTCCGCACAAACCCATTCCGGACAAGGCCATCCAGGCCTGTCTCTCTATGGCGACTCCAGCTCCACTAGGCCTACACAACATCACTCACGAGTCCCTCTGAGGCAGCTCCCTTGGGTCTGAAAACAATCCTTTTCATTAAGAAATACCCAGAAGTTCTAGAAGTCCCCTCTTAGGACTTTCCAACTCTCCCCAACTCCTAGCTGGGCCTGGGCCCTAAGGACAGAGGTGGCTTACCAAAGGCCGACGGGGACATCTGCTGAATGAGGGCCCGGCATTCCAGAGCAGGGTAGAGGGACACAAGGGGGGAAGAGGCCCGGTCGGCCCCTGCTGAGAACTGGCTGCTTGTACCTGTGGTAGACCAACAGTTAGACAAAGACAGGGCCCCAACAGCTTGAGACCAGTATCCTCCCCCACCAGTACATCACCGACCTGGTGCACAGGGTGAAGGAGGTTTGGCAAGAGCTAAAACAGTGCCTGGAGAAGGGGGCTTGATGCCCAGCTCGGTGTGCAGCTCTGGGTGCTCCGGTGATGAGGCTGAGCTCCGCTGCCGTGGAGACCGGCTGGTCCACTCCTCCAAGCCACTGGAGGCTGCTGCTGTGGCAGAACTGCACGTGGCGCTGGCTTTTCGAGGCTGAGATAAAGGAGGCAGTCAGGACCAGCTCCAACCCCAAGAGCCTCTACCTGAGTCCCCATCCTTCACATGTCAGACCACAGCACGGTGGTCAGTTCCTTAACTCCATCAGGTCCCAGAAGCCAATCTGCCTGGAAACTTACCTCATCTGCAAAAATGATCCAGAAGCCATCACCTGACCCCTGCCTTGCCAGCACTGTTGGTCTCTGTGGCCACCATGACGGCCTACTCATCATTGGTACCCTAGAATTCATTCTGCACTCAACATCAAGGAGGACTCTATTACACCCTAGGTCATATTATTTTCTCTTCTCACAAATGTGCCTCCACTTCCTCATTCAGAGGCAAAGAAGTCCTTCAAGCGGCCCAAAACCCCCTCCCCAATTCAGCCCACCAGCTCAAAAACTCATCTACTCCACATTCTACTCGGCCATGCAGGCCTGAGTTGGTCTGGGATTACCTAGTGTGTCACCTTAGGGCCTTCCAGCAGACCATCTGCCTCCCTCACCTTCAGCTAGGGACTACTCAAATGTCACTCCTCCTAAGCCTACCCTGAGAGCACAATACCTAATGTTGGGAAGTAACAGCCCATTCAAGCCTATTTACTTCTCTGTTGTTTTTTGTTTTGAGCCACACCCAGTGGTGTTCAGGGCTTATTCTGCACTTACTTCAGTGCTCAGCTCTGCATTCAGGAATCACTCCTGGCAGGGCTCAGGAAACCATATGGGACATCAAGGACTGAACGCAAATTGACCACATACAAGGAAAGTGTACTGTCTCTCCAGCCCCTCTCAAGTTTTCATCCATAGCACCTTTCAAATAATCCACCTTTCTCATTCCACTTTACAAAAAATGTCAGCATCATGAGGACTGGGATCTGGGGCTTCCAGGGTCACCAATGAACCCCAAACATAAACAACAGTACCTGACCCAGACCTGCAGCAAGTAATTATTGAATAACTCAAGTCCTGCCTGCATCTACAATCAGTCCAAACTCCTTGCTGATTCCTCAACTGCCTGGAAACCTGCCAGATCCCATCCGTGCCCTAAGAATTCAACTTCCTTCCATGAAGACTAAGCGGAGCCCTCCTTTCCACAGCTCCCTAATCAGGTTCAAGAACCCCACTGACTTATCATCTGTCTCCCTCCCTGCAGAGATGGGGTCACTGCAGCTGAAGTGGGCTAAACCTTGTTTTTTTAGGGGTGGTTGTTATTTAGGCCACACCAGGCAATGCCCAGGGATTACACCTGGCTCTGCACACAGGAATTATTCCTGTCTGTGCTCTAGGGACCATATGGGATGCTAGGGATTGAACGCAGGTCCACCACATGCAAGACAAACATCCTACCCACTATACTATCAATCAGGCCACTAGACCTTATTTTATATTCTTAGCATAGTCTGACACATAGGGTCATTTCAAGAAAAGTTTGTCCCTAGAAACTCTCCATTCATGCCACACACGACCACCAAATGCTGCTCCCCGTGGCGCCTTCAGAACTCAATCTGCACTCGATCATTGTATAACTGAAACCTAAGCACGGAAGTTTGTAAGTCTACAACTGCACCTCATGGTGTAATAAAAAAAATTTTAAAAACTAATAAAAAAACTCAATCTGCAGCTGTTTTATACAGTTTTAAAGCACAGTACCAAAACTATGGCTGGGGATTGGGGGTATACAGCAGGGCTGGAAGCTGCCTCCCCACCCCAGATGCCAAAACCACTGAACTTTTCCTCCTGCCAGTTTCAGAAGCACAGCACAGAAAATAATGGGTTCTCAGCCAGACCAGTGGCAGAACGCAGGACCCACCTGGCTGGGACCGCGGACCTGGCGGGCCTGTTTCTCCTGATCCCTCAGCCACTGCAAGTAGGATTCCCGTGCCACCTGCTCCTCGATGGCCTCGTTTGTGGCTTCCCAGTCTGTGGCCCTCTTCTTGTCTTCTAGCATCTGCTGCTCAATCCATGACTCCTCTGATGTCTTTATGGCATTCTTCATTAGTGACTGCTCTGCAAACTGCAAGGGTGGAGCACTGAACAGAGATGTAGGGTGGCACTCTGAACTCTGGTCAAGAACCGACATGGGCTCAGGGAGGTGGACCCAGAAGTCCAGAAGAGAGTAGACAAGGAAGCAGGTATTCTGAATAAGCAACCTGCCAGGACAGTCATTCCAAACTCCTATGTACAGAAATCTTGCTGTTCCCAACCCTAAAAAAAAGTCCCCCAAAAATCAATTTTCTAAATGGGCAAAAAAAAAACCACATAATTCTTCAAGATAAACAGCAAATAAGAACAAAGAAAAAGTATTTATCATAATCCGTCACTAGGTAACTTCAAATTAAAATACCCATGAAGGACTTTCAAATTGGAAACAAACATCGGTTTTAACTTTAGCTTAATATTATTATAGGTGGTTAGATATAAAAATAATTCTAGAAATATGTAGCTATACAGCTCAAGTTACACAAATATTTATCTCTTTATTCAGTTAAAAGACCTAAAGAGGATCAAGAACACACCAGCAGCAAGAAGAACATCAAGTACCCAAATCTTGATTTCTAGTAACAGTCTCCAACAAAGAAATCGAATGGGCACAAAGAATGGTTCGGTGGCTAAAAGATCTCCCTGCACACATGAGGCCCTAAGTTCAATGCTTAGTATCGCCTGCATGCAATGAGTGCAATCCGGGCATCTCTACTATCTGGGACCACCCAGCACTACAAGGGAGTGTGTGATCTCCAGAGTACCAAAACCAGTGAGGTGTGTGCTAGACCTGAGGCCAGGAGCGTGAGTCTCAGTGAGCATGTGCATGAGCATGTTAGAGACCTCTGGCAAGCACTACAACTAAACCCTGGGGAGCATCACAACTAAGTGTATTTGAGCCCTGGCCATTGTAACAATTGCAATAAAGAGATACGTAGAAGCAGTGTTACAAAGCTAAATAGCAAAGCTCAGAAAAAAGAAGTAAAGACTCTTAGAGAAATGGTTTGTTGTTGGACTGAATCAGGAAATAAAGGAAATAAGAGTCTAGGGGATGGAGTGATAGAATAGCAAGTAAGGCACTTACCTTGCACATGGCTGACATGGATTTAGTTCCCAGCATCCCATATGGTCCCCTGAGCCCACCAGGAGTGACTGCTGAGTGCAGAGCCAGGAGTAACCCCTGAGCACCACTGGGCGTTGCCTCCCCCCCCCCCCCCCCAAAAAAAAATAAAACAAGGAAACAAGAGTCTAGAGTACCTGGCAGTGCCAGTTAGTGAGGAAAAACTCAAATTCCAACAAAAAATGAGCAAAAAACAGTACCAATGCAATGCTGAGGTTGTATCAAAAAGACACGGGAATCAACTAAGAGAGCTCTGTATAGCCAAAACTTAAATCATTTGAGCATCAACTTTTTAAAAAAATAGTACTAGATTATAATTGAAAGTATAGGAGAAACCTTTAAATACACATTGATAAAAAGTAAATTAGTAGGAGGAAAAAAAGCAAATCTCCTTGGGAGAGAATGACTAATTTTTATGTAGATATTCTGGTCTTTAAGGGGATGCAACCTAACCTTCATTTTTCTTTCTTACAATTTTTATTTAGCTCAGGTGATAGTTAGAATAGTGTGAACATTTATGGTTCTGATACACAACAACTTACTGCACCTTCACCACCATCGAAGTCCTCCCACACTGTCCCTCTTCCATAATACTTAGGGTGTTACTATACAATACCACATCCACCATTTGCCCCAGGTCCCCTCCTTCCAAGACACCCCCAGCACCCTCAGATCACAGTTCTATTGACCATTATCTCATGACTCTCCCCTTGAGTATGGATTATAGTGAATTCTTTCTCCTATTCATGTTATTTGGGCCACATCTAAAGGTGCCCAGGATCTAGTCCCAGCTTAGAACTTGAGAGTCAGTCTCTGTGGTGTGCAGGAAACCACAGGGTGCCAGGAATCACACCAAGACCTCCTACAGGCAAAGCATGCATTCAAATCTCTTGAAATATATCCTCCCAGCCCCAACAGTGACTTCTTTCTAAACAGTACCATATGGAAAGAGTAATTTTCCAGTAGAGAAAATCTGACAAGCACTACTTCTGCCAGATGATCACCATCAACATCATAATCATAAATCAAGTTCACAATATATACTGTTGACATGGTAAGAATGGCATTTTATCATTCTATTTTCCTCTCTATAACCTATAACCCCAATCAAATCATGAGAAAAGCAATCCAAGAGAAAGAAGCATCCTTAAAACTGTCAAGGTCACAGACAATATGAAAATTTGAGGAACTGTTCCAAACAACGGTGCCTGAAGATACAAGGTGACTTTAGTTAATAATCTATCAGTACTAGCTTGCATCATAAGATACACATCACAGTCATCTGTGATGTTAACAATCAAACTCTGTACAGAGGAGAATATTTGGGAATTCTGTACTATCTTCTTCGTTTTTCTGTTAATCTAAAATGATTCTAAATTCTTCCTGACTGCCATAAGAAAGTCAACTGCCAAGAAGGGCTGGATCTCTCACTCTGTAGCAAAGAAAGTCTTTCTGAGGGAAAACTTCTCTAAACAATTAAGTCTGTGTGTTTAAAAAAAACATAAAACAGTTCTTTTTAAAAAAAAATAAAAAGGAAAAAGGACCCAAGCGGACAGTACTGTGAGTAGGGCATTTGCCTTGCATACAGCCAGCCCAGGTTGGGTTCTCAATACCCGATAGAGTCCCCTGAATCCATCAGGAGTAATCCCTGAGGGCAGAGCCAGGAGTAAGCCCCAAGCACAGCAGATGTGGCCAAAAAACAAATTTTAAAAACTCTGAAGAGTCAAAATAAATAAACAATCATAAATGAACAATCACAGCACAAAAGTCATGTATGACTCTTAAATGTAGTTTTACAGTAAATAAGTCATTCCGGAAACAAAACTGCATATGGCATGAATATAATTATAAGTCATTCTAGACAAGGCAAAATTCTAGAGTCAAATACAAATACAGGGACATTCAGAGAAACATAGCCAAGAGGAGCCAAAGGAAATAAGACAACTACAAATAGAGTCACTATGAAAAAACTGAGGTAATTCACTTAAAGTATGGTCTTTAGTTAATATGACAATACAGTTTCATCAGTTGTGACATATGTTCTAGGCTAAAAACATTCATCATGGTAGGGTAAAAGAGAATTCTCAAATTATAGTCATTCTACACATTAAAATGGTTCTAAAATTAAATGTTTATTTTAAAAACAAAAGGAAAAAACTCAGAGAGTTTGCAGGCATACGTGTGTTTCCTAAAATGAAACAGGAGCACTTTCTGTTTATAGGAAGTGAAAGTTGAATAAAAGATAGCAAAATCCCCAGAAGACAAGTGTTTCTGAAGAGAGAATGACAATCTGTCATTTTTAGAGTATGCTAGGAAAAGGCTCTGTCACCTCCTGAGCACCTACTCAGCACCAGGCCAATGTTAGGCACTTTCTGTGCCCACCAAACTGAGAGCCCAGACTACTTGTACAATCTGGGCAAATGCCCTATAGCCAATTAAAGGTGGGTGGGACCAATAATTTCTGTTTGGGAGGATACATGTAGGTCCACTAACATCCCAGCAGCCAAATGTGATTTCATATTATAAACTGCGAATCCTCTTGGCACAAAGATGGGCTAATCAGCTCAAACAGGCAAAATACCATCGCAAAATGAGCCTGGAGTGGTGGATCACTGATGCAACAGAGGTAAGAACTCGGGGCAACTCAAAGAGGAGACAGGGTAATTTTGCAGGCTAGAACTGAAACACCCATCTCCCCAGTCAACAGAGATTTCTGGATTCTATACCTATCAAACACATGGGCATGGGGACCCACTTACCCCTGGTTTGAAAGATGGCAGGCCCAGTCCCACACCAATGGTAGCCTTGTTGGGATTCACCACTGAATTGTAGTGAATATTCCGATGGTAACTAACCCGGATGGGCTCATCCTCATTTTGATGGATCCCATGGAATGTGTTGATGGGCTCTGTGGAGAGAGAAAAGAGAGCATGCACAGTGGATGAGTCAGAGCAGGCTCACTGCAGATACAGTCCGCATGTCACACACCACAGAAGTACCTGTGCTGTACTGGTAAACCTCCACAGGCCGGTTGTACATCTCCGCCATGGCTTGCATCTCGATGTGGTTCCCGTGGCAGTTGTTTTTCCGCTTCCGATTGATGTAGGTGGTGAAGTCCTCTGTGACGTAGTTGGAGAAGTAGTCAGCATTCTTCATCTACAGAACAGATTCAGGTCAGTATCTGTGTGGAAAGGAAAGCCCACATTCCACTCTCTCCCCCAAAGCCTCTGAAAGATCTCACCAGATAGTCCATGCAGTGTTTCCGTACAACCTCATGCATGTCCTGGTCTCCATACACCTGATCAGCTGTGGGGAAGAGGAGAAGCTAGGGTCAGGGCTGATACAAGAAGAAGTCCAAGTCATGAAACAGCGTTGGGAATTGGTTGGGCGACAGTGGGCCAATGGAAATTCCCTTTCATGCCCCAAGTCTGAACGGACAGTTCTTGGCCGTGGGGGCTAGAATGGCGTCATGGAACAAAAAACAAAACGGATAGGTTGGGATAATTATTAAAACGGAGAGTGCAGGTGTCAGGGACACACAACCACAGGCCTCTCACACAAATGAGAGGACTGATGATTGTCTTTGCATAGGACTTTCCCTGCCACTCAGATAAGTCAATAAACATTTGACTATGTGGCCCCAAAACCACAAATCCCCCATTGCCCCCATCCCCTCACTTTTGAGGAAACAGAGACTTGGGGAGATATTGTGCCTTGACCAGGGACACAGGGAAAGTCGGTCTGTGACAGTCGACTCCAAAATTCCATTTTCTTAAGTTTCCAGGAGTATGGCCTTTGTAAGTTTTTTTTAATAAAAAAATGGGTTCTGAGCCCAGGCAGAGTAATGAGCAAAATGACCAGAAGAGGTGACCAAATGTTCTGCATCTCATAGGCCTTTACACATAAAATGCTGAATAATACCTGGCAGGCCACTGAGGAGACTACTGGGTGGCAAGTGACGAGCGCTGGGCTTGGAACAGACCAGTCACTTGGTAAATCACAGTCCCTGCCCCCAGAGTGAGGCCTGAGTGGGGGGTCACTGCTAAGGTAACCGAGCGAGGAAGATCTTGCCCCTGCCAGGAAGCAGCAGACCAATGAGAGAGAGAAGACACAGATGCACCTCACTTAAACTAACTCAAGCAAGGCGGCCTGTGAGCCAAATGCTTCAGACGTCACGGGGTTTGGTCAAAGCAAGAACCAGTATCCGTCTGCCTCACTTGAGGACCTTCGCACAGGCTGTTTCCCTCTATTCAGGTTGTTCTTTTGTGCTTTTTGGCTGCCTACCTGTCCAACAAGAAAGTGTTCTGTACTCTGTTCCCACATATCCCACCCTAGGCACCACTATCAGCAAATTCATTTTAAGTGCATTGGCTTCACCTGCCAGAGAACGGGGAGCTGGTGATGAGGGCAGCTCACAGCCAAGCCCTGGCCCAGCTTGGGATCCAATCATTGTGGGAAAGTGACAGCAGTGCCAAGTGGAGGGAGGCATGGGGAGGGGTGCAGGGAGACTTCTCCCTGGAAAATTCAAACAAGCTTGAAGATCCATGCCCGAGGTACACTGGCTAACATGAAGAGGGGATTTCCCTTGGTTTCCCCAGAGGACCATTTAGTTCTGCAGGGATCTCCCTGGGGCCCCGGGGTAGGGGCAGGTCCCTCGGGGAACAACACCCTCCAGGGAACACCAGTCTACCTCTATGAAGAGGCATCTCTTGGTGGCTTTTGGTGCTCCCAGCCCACTCTGCAGGTTCTGTGAGATGAGAAAAAGGCTGGGCTGAGTTAGAAAATAGGGTCCATGCCTGTCTCAAATCTTCTTGGACGGACAGGATATGCAAGAGGTCCAAGGAAGTGGGAGAATGCGGGTGTAAAGGCAGGAAGGGGTAGCCCCTTCACCGATGTAAACAAGGATGTGGGTTCTGTGGCCAAGTTCCCCCTCTCCCCATCAGCACTTCCAGCAAGTCACGTGCCCAGTGCACAGGCTGGGGGCCCCCTGCGGCTGCCTTTCTTAGAATCAAGGACCACAGAGCCCGCTGTGGCTGCAAAAGCTGCCTGGGGAGCTATTTATGTAGCACTAGTTTAGGATGCCAACCAGGAGGCAGCACTGTCAGCAGGTGCAGTTAACAGGAAGTGAAATGGGAGCAAAGGGGTTAAACATGGGTTGACCCAAGGGTGGACTGGCCCTTCCAGGCCTGATGGATAAGTCTGCCTGTGCCAGAGACCTGCAGCACAAAAAAGGGAGTAGTAGGGAGGCTAGGCACAGGGAAGGAGCTGTGGGAGAACCCCATGAGGGTCCCAGTCCCCAGTCACTGACCTCTTGGCCTGGCAGGAAGGCTCTGCTGCCTTCTACTGTGTGGCATTGGACAAAGCCTTTAATAACCTCTCGAGGCTGCAATGTCCTCACCCAGAGAGTAGACACAGTAAGTCTTCTTCCTCTCACAGGCGCCGTCAACATTACAGGCGCTGCTTTGCCAAACACCTGAGGCATAGGCTATGTGTTCAAAAAACGGGGGAGGGGAGGGTGATATGAGAATGATGACTCCTTCAGCGAGCTAGCCCCCCCCCCACCCCCGTCCATCCATCAGCTGGCATGGCACCGGAACTGCTTCTTGAGCCCTTCCTCATTTCTGTTGCACTTCCTCAGCCTGAGGAAAGCCCCATATAGGGCACCCAGTCTGCACTCCTCATGCAAACAATAATGACAGGCACTGTCTGCCTTTAGCGAACCCTGAGATCGACAGACCTACCTTCTTCTGTGCCCCAAATTCAAATCTTCAGCAACCCAACTGACATCAAAGTCCTACCAACAGGAATCTTCAGAGTGAATTAGTATGACCATCTCTACTCATCCACAAAACAGGAACCATCACCAGCTCTCCTCAAGTCTAAGATGCACCGAGCGGTAATGTAGGGCAGTACCACTGTGGATTGATTTCACCTTCCCAAAATGCGTTCTAGTTTGGGGATTACGCATGTGAAAGCAAATCTCTGAAGCAATGAAACAGCAATAGTCCATTCCCCATCACCACCACCAAGGGAGAGAGATAAGAGAGGAAAAACATATCAAACAAGGAAAAGAACAGAGGAAGTCTTCAATAGAAAGTGCTTTTCTGACATTGCTAATCCCATCCCAGACCTCCAGACAGTCCTCCTCCTCAAGGAGGGTTGGCACAAGGGACTAGGGCCCAGGCTGGACTTCCCGAAGGTTGGGGGGCTGAAAGGGCTTACTAGACCTACAAAACTAGGGGAATTCAGAGAACGTGTTTTGATAGAAACTGAAACTTCTCCCCTTGCTGACACTGCACTTGTGGGCAAGCTGCACCTGTCATCCCCTCCCTGAGTCCAGCTGGAAGGTAGTCCCCAACTATCTCACCTCTGTCCCCAACCCAAACAGACCTGGGCACCCTCTCAATACAATAAATGCTACTGGAGTTCCAGCAAAGGCTTTTTACATTCAACTGGTTCCACTTTCACTAAAACCAAATTCAATCCCCCCAACCCTCAGCACAAGAGGTATCCAGAGGTACAGTGATGAGGCACAACTGGTCCAAGACCCCACATTTGGGAAGGTAAAGGGGCAGTCAGGATCTTCAGGGGCTACCAGAGACTTCCAAGTACTGATGTCCCTGGTGGCATTTCCCTACCCGCCTTCAGCCCACTCTCATCGTAGCCACCCGAATCCTGGAACCAGGCCTTGTCCTGCCTGCCTCAGTTTCCCAGCAGTGCAAGCAGGAATCCTCAAGTACCCAGGATAAGCCTGAGAGTGGGCCGAGATGACAGATACTGAGGGGGTTGCACCTCTCGCTAGGACCAAAGGCTCATCTCCCCCGTCCATTTCTGCCCTTTCTCATAGTGCCCATGTGAGCACAGAGTGAGCAGATCCCACCAACGATGTTCTCCAAGGTTAAAACTCAAACTACTATTGGGACCAGAGCGATAGTACAGCAGGTAGGGCATTTGCCTTGCACACAGCTGACCCGGGTTTGATCCCCGGCATCCCATATGGTCCCCCAAGCACCACCAGGAGTAATTCCTGAGTGCAAAGCCAGGAGTAACCCCTGAGCATTGCTGGGTGTGATTCCCCCCCTCAAAAAAAAACCTCAAACTACTGCAGTCAGGGAGTAGACACCTAAGCTCTAAGGAGGAAAAACTAAAGGCTTGAGAGGATGTCAGGCTCTACAAAGTGAGGTCCCCACCTTTTTTCTAGTCTTTGCTGGGAGTTCACCAGAGGAAGGCAAGTCCACTGCTCCAACAGACTCACCTTTCCCGTCTTCCCTGCTGTCTGGAAGAATGCCCCAAACCTCTGCTATCCTGTCACTTGATTGCCTGTTCTCTAAAATTCAGCCACTATTTGCCCAGGAGTTAGGTAGAGAAGCAAGTCCAGAGGGCTTGAACTAACAAAGGAGTTGAAGTATAGAGCCACACCGTTCAGAGGTACCTGAAACTCTTCCTGCCAGGCTGCTGCAGCAGCTGCTGCCTGGCCGCCAGCCTGCCTGCTATAAGAGCCACATCAAGTTCTGCTGAGGACAAAAAAAGGAAGTTTGGGGTCTGCAGGGATTCAAAAAAACTAACCACACAAATGTGTATATACACAGCAGCTGAGGGAGACAGAATCTGGTCCACTCCCCACTTCCGTCCTGATCCAGTGGGGACTTCTGGCCCCAGCAGAGGAGATGAGCCAAGAAAAAAGGCCTCAACTTGCTGTAAAATAAGAGCTGCAGTGGAGCTGGAGTGATAGTACAGCGAGTAGGGTCTTTGCCTTGCACACGGCCTACCTGGATTCAATCCCCAGCATCCCATATAGTCCCCCAAGCACCACCAGGAGTAATTCCTGAGTGCAGAGCCAGGAGTAACCCCTGAGTATCACTGGGTGTGACCCAAAAAGCAAAAACAAACAAAATAAGAGCTGCAGTGGGACCTGACCAGTGGCCCCCCGTGGCTCACCCTGGGAGACAGCAGTCTTTGAGAGACCTGTTGCTTTACTCAGTGAAAGCCAGAGAAAGGCCAAGAAAAGCTGGCATACATGGTGGCTATGGAAATCTCCTGGCCATGTGACCGAGATAACGGAGTCCAACCTCTCTCTCTCGTAGCCTCACTGTGCCCATTTATGAAATAGCTAAAATGGATCCAAGATCCATCCCTCCAAGTGCTGACAGATTGTGCTCCCAAACCAAAAGGCTCAAAGGAGGAGGTTGCACTATTGTTGAGAGGGCAGCAGTTCTAACAGGTACAGCCACAGTGGCTTCCCAGGGCCCAGGCAGACATTTGCAAGTGCAGCCCGCACTTTGCCCTAGGAGGCCAGTGCCAGGGCCAGGGCCAGGACCAGAGGTTTTTGCTGAGTCAAAACCACATGGGGAGTGGAAGGGAAGGAGAAATGCAGACTCATGTTTCCAAGAGGATGTTATCTGAGCAGAGCAGGGCCGGGAGGGCCACAGGCTCCTTCTTGCACTCCACCCAAGCCTCCAATGATGCTCAGAAGCAGCAACAGGGCTGATGAAATAAAGAAGACACAAGCTGCACTCTGGCTCATACCAGGTACAGCCAAAGCTCAGCAGCAAACAGAAAGCCACCTTTCTTGGGGTTCCTAAGTACAGGGTTATAGACTCTACTCCAAGCTAGAGGAAGTAAAACCCAGAGAAGAAAGGTTACAGAGGGAGGCTAACAACAAAGCTAAGAAGGGAGGGCTTTCCTATGATCACAGAAAGAATGTGGACTTGGGGCAGTTCTGGTTTCACACCAGCTCTGCCACTAATGATCCTTAGCACATTACTTTGCATTTCTGAGCTTCAGTGTTCTTGCCTTATCTCATGGAATAACGAGCCCCACTTTGCAGGTAAAATGGACAACCAGTTGAACATCTCGTAAACAGTAGGGGTCAAGGATGGACAGTGTGCTCTCTGTGTCTGCCACGACCACTCTCCTTCCTCTGTTCAAAGTGCCTGTCGGCCTCATGGCCCAGGGCCACCTATCTGTCAGGACTAGACTGAGAGGGGAAATATAGCAAAAATAACTAGGGGACACAGGTCCTCTGCATTCTGTCCTGGAGAAACTTCAAGGTGAGGCCTAGAGACCCAGGGACATTGTAGTTCTGAACAATGGCAGGGGCTCCTAAGGTATTCAGTAGAAAAGTCAAGGGCAGTGCTGGCAGGGGAAACACACAGCTGCGGCAGTGATAAGGAAAGGCTTTCTGTAAGTTCAGGCTCCCAACCAGAAGACCAATGCAGAGAAGGGTCACAGGGTGCTTGGGAGGAATGGCTTGAGAGAGATACAAAATATACTAGAGATAAATACATATACTGTTCCAAGGCCACTGCAGAAGCAGATTCACACGAGACCCAAGGTCTGCCTCACAGGCTTCAGAGGCCCAGCTGCACTCTCTGACCTTCAACCCAGCAGCAGTCATGCTCACTCCACAATCCACCTCGTGTCTCAACCCAAGACCTGACTCCTACAAGCTTCAACTGATAACTCCTTTGCCTTCTTCTGGTCCAAGATGCCCCCAAAGTTCAGTGCCTTTTCTGGAAAAGGTCCCAGAGAGAAGAGGATTTGAGCTGTAGGAGTTGGAGGGCAGATATTTTTCCATTTCCCAAACATATAACAGGACTGCTCACCTCACCAAAATTTCACCCATTCAACAAACATTTGTCACTCTGAGACACCATGGAGAGTAATATTCAGGCATTACCAATGCTATTATTGTTCCACGAGGGCCTATTACATGGGAGATAGTCCTGGGATTTACGCAAGTACACTCACTTAACTGTCAAACCCTGGATCTTATCTAGTCTCAATTAATAGAGGAACAGGGTCAATCAAAACAAACACTTGCCCAAGGTCACAGGGAGAATCAGGGGCGTGGCCAGAAGCAGGAGCTGAGTCTGTTTAGCCCACAGCCGACCAGACTGAGACAATAGCAGCCCCAGGTAGGATTTGGGGGCAATTCAGAATCTACACATCATTTCATAGTGATGGGGGAGTTGGGGAGGTGGACATTGAAGTGAAGGTGATCAAAGCGCTGAGTCAAGACCAGCACTAAAAGATGGGGTTTATGACAGACAGCTCAAAGGTCCTATCATAGGGCACTTTTCATAAGTAGGTACCAGAGCCCCAAAGTGAGGATCATGGTCAGGACACAATCCAAACTTTCCTAAATACAAATAGGACCTCATAATTAATTTGTCGACTCAGAGCCAAAGGGGTCTCCAAGACTGAATTCAGACTGGTCCATAGATGATAGTGAGAAAGTACTAATTATGTTAAGTGTGATAATGAAACATTGATTATGTTTTTAAAAAGAGAGAAAGAAACCTTATCTGACAAGAAAACATATAAAACTGTCGTGAATGACAAACTCCAAAATCTGGGTTTTGCTTTAACAACATTATCTCAGGGAAGTGAAAAAGAGTGGGCAGAGTAGCAGGGACATAAGCACAGCCATGTGTTAATGGCTATTTTGAAGATGGATGATGGAGACAAGAGGGTTCACTATTTTGGGGGGTATGTTTTGAAAAAGAACCCGGGGTAACTGCAGCAGCCTGGTTAGGAACACAGGCCTCAGACTAACCTAAGTCAGATATGAAGCTCCACCTGCACCACGAACTAGCTGACCCTGGGCAAGTCACACCCCTATCTGTCACTCTTCTCACCTGTCAAATAGAAGCACCACTAGGGCCTACACTTCCCCTAAATGGGAGAGAATTCCAAAAGTTTTCAACTCCAGTCAGAACAGAACCATCTATCCCGAAGTAATACCGTGTTCATTGTCACGAGCACTGTTGCCGCCATTCCTCTCACAGCACCACAATGCCTCAGGACTTAGGACTTTAACCTGGGGCCTCATGTCCCCAAAAGACCAGCTAACTCTACCCCCCAACTCTCAGGGGTTCTCCTGGCAACTGAGACACAACTCAGGGGCAGCCCTAGGCCCTTGAGGGCTGAGGCAGAGACTCACCTACAGCCCGGAAGAGACAGGCGCCGTCCTCCTTCATCTGCTTGATGATGAAGCCCTTCTTGTCCCTCAGGGCCTTTTCAAACCAATGCTCCTGCTGAAGGAAGACGTGGGGGTCAGCAACAGGAAGGGCCTGTACCCCTCCCCAGGGCCCGGCCCTTGAATCCCCAAGGGGCCCAGCTGGTAGGCTGAGAAGGCACTGGGCAGGGGCAAGTTCTCAGTCCTGCTTGACCACTCGCACACATGACTAATTCTTTCAGGGAACCAGTCACTGTGTAAGCAGAAGACTTGCCCCCAAAGGGGCCCCAGCTGCCCTAAAGAGGTGCCACCTAAACTCTGACCCCTACTGACCAGGCTGGGAATCTGACGCTGAGTCTTTCCCCCAGTCAGCCCCAGGCCCAGACCTGACAATCACCGGAACCTGCCACTAGCTCCAGGAATATCAAAGGGTTCTTCTACCCACAGAGTGGGGGAAGAGGTTGAGGAGGGAGTTACTGGCAAAAGTCTCCATCCCAAGTCCCACATATATATCGGGAATCCTCATATATAAGGCTTGATGATGACAAATATGCTTTCATTTGCAACTGAACACCTTTAACATATACTTGTATGCATATGTATACAAACACATACACATAAAAATTGGGAAGCTATACAACAAAGCATAATCTGCCAGTGCTGATAACATGAAGGATTTTACTTCACCTTCTTCTTTACAAAAAGCATATACTCCCTTATCCCAAATTCTAAAACTCCAGCATATTTGAAAACCAAAAAAAGTCTTTAACTCATTTGGCAACCTGATCTGAACTTTATCCCACTTGCGGATGAATTCAAACAGCTTTAAGCAGCAAATATTCTGGTGTTTGATTATGGGGTGCTGCTGCAGACCACACTGGAAATGTTACATAATAGAATAGACCCCCTTATCCTTGAGAGTATGTTCCACGACCCTGCAATCAACACCTGAAAACAGCATACCAAACCCAACATATGCAACCTTTTTCCTGTAGATACATAGCTATTATAAAACTCAATACATTTGGCACAGTAAAAGAATACCAATAACTAGTAACAGTAAAACAGCAATTATAATAGCACTGTAGCACTGTCCTCCCGTTGTTCAATTTGCTTGAGTGAGCACCAGTAACTTCTCACAACAAATTGTGAGACTTTTTGTTACTGTTTTTGGCATATCGAATATATCACGGGTAGCTTGCCGGGCTTTGCCGTGCAGGCGAGATATTCTCGGTAGCTTGCCGGGCTCTCCGAGAGGAGCGGAAGAATCAAACCCAGGCTGGCTGAGTGCAAGGCAAACACCCTACCCACTGTGCTTTCACTCCAGCCCTGCAATTATAATATATCCGAAAAGTTATGCACATTATGCAAATGTGCTATGCTCTTTCTACCACAGTATATTATTGGGGGCCAGAAAGAGAGCATCGTGGAAAAGGCGCTTGCCTTGTACATGGCCAACAGTGGTTCAATCCCCAGCACCCAATATGGTCCCCCAAGTACCACCAGAAGTGGTCCCTACCCACAGAGCCAGGAATAAACCCTTGAGCATCTTATTATAGCTAAAATTTTAGACCAAGACTAACTATGGTAACTGACACCATGGATAGTAAGACCACAGATAGAGGGGAATACTCTATAAATGCCAAGGGCCTTTTCTAAATTCTGAATTTTTACCTCAGTTCCAAGCATATCTAGCCCCAAGTAAAATGAATGTATACTGATGGATGTACACTGATGTATACTCACAAATGTAAATACTGTTGGATTTAAAAAAAATGTGGGGGCTGGAGCGACAGCACAGCGGGTAGGGCATTTGCCTCGCATGCGGCCGACCCGGGTTCAATTCCCAGCATCCCATATGGTCCCCCAAGCGCCGCCAAGAGTAATTCCTGAGTGCAGAGCCAGGACTAACCCCTGAGCATCGCCAGGTGTGACCCCCCACAAAAAAAATAAAACAATGGGTCTGAAGGAATAGCGCCAGGGATAAGAGTGGCTACCTTGCAAGAATATGGTCATGAGTTCAAATCCCGCTATCTCACATGTACTGAGCTTTATCCTGGTGACTCTGCTGTCTATGATCCCCAGCGTTGCAAGCAGTTCTTGCTGCACTATACCCAGGGGTGTGAGCACCACAAAAAGAGGTACAACCCCTGGCAAGCATCACAGTTCAAAACCCTGTGGGGGGGGAGGCAGCACAGAACAATACTATAGTGGGTAAGGTAAGGCAGATGCAGGTTGGATTCCCAGCACCCCATATGGTCCCCAAGCCCGCCAGGAGTAATCACTGAGTGCAGAGCCAGGAGTAAATTGTGAGCACTACCAGGTGTGGCCCCCAAACCAAACAAAATAAAAAGACATGTGGAGACAATAGACAAGAAATGTAAACTCTGGTGATCACATTTGTCACCACCACAGTTATAATCAGTGTGTGCTTCAGCTAAGAGTACTTGCCCAGCAAGCATGTGTGTAAGCACCCCAACCAAAGGAAAGCCAACCTTAGTGAGCCCCACAGTCAAGCGTACAGACACCACTGAAGAACAACCTCCCAATCAGCAGCAGAGCTAAAAATGTATGAGCAGAGTCAGACAGATTTCCAATCCCCATCACTGTAAGAAAGAGGAGGGAGACAAATTCTTAAAAACTAATAGTGATTTTAAAAAGTAAGATAATTTAGTGGATAAAGCACTTGCTTTGCACACAGCCAACAAAGGTTTAATCCCCAGCACTACATATGGTCCACTAAGCATTGCCAGTAGTAAACTCTCCATGTGTAGCCCTCCAATAAAAAGTAATGGAGGACCAGAGCGATAGCACAGTGGGTAAGGCGTTTGCCTTGCACGAGACTGACCTGGGTTCGATCCCTGGCCAGGAGTAATTTCTGAGTGCAGAGCCAGGAGTAACTCCTGAGTATCGTTGGGTATGACCCAAAAAAGAAAAAAAAAGTAATGGAAAGATAGGCCAGAGGGATAAGGTGCTTGCCTTGCACACAGTCAACCCAGGTTCAATTCCCCACATCCCATATGGTCCCCTGGGCATGGCCAGGAGTAATTCCTAAGTACAGAGGCAGTAGTAACCCCAAGTATCACCAAGTATGGACCCAAAACCAAAAAAAAAGTAATGGAAAAAGTAACAGGCAGAACAGAAAAAATTCTTCAGGTGGCCAAACTATTCTCTATGGACCTATAATGGTGGGTACTGTCATTATAAATTTTTTCCAAGCCCACAAGAAATAACACCAACATGTTTGCCACTCAATGCCTCTTTTGCAGACCACAACACCCAAAAGGAGAGAGAGAACACAGGGGATTGCCCTGCCACAGAGACAGGGGGGATGGGGGGATGGGGGTGGGAGGGATATTATCCATGGTGGTGGAAAATGGGCACTGGTGGAGGGATGGGTATCTGATCATTGTATAATTGAAACCAAAGCACAAAAAATTGTAAATCTACAACTGTAAAAAAAAATAAAATAAAGGGGAAAAAAAGAAAAGAAATTCTGTCTTCTGTTTGCCTTTTTATTATTGCTATTGTTTTTAATGAATAGACAGAATTGACATAAAGGAAAATAATGACTTGTTAGAGAACAAATACTGGAAAGTAAAGTCAAATTAAAATACATAACCTTCAATGCTTAAGCAGCAGTCAGTTTACCTCATCACTGTACCTACTTTACCATTTTATGCAATTAAACACACTGAAACAAATTGTTATTTTATATTAGCTTGAATGTTCTCATTAAATTTTGCATATTCGCAAAATAAAAAAAAAGAAATAACACCAAGAGTGAACACCCTAAATGCAAAACAAAGATTTTTGGTGATACCAATATGTCACTGTAGGCTCATTATGTGACATAAATGATCACTCTTTATAACAGCAAAGGCTATGCAGGGTGTGCCAGGATATGTGTGGGAATTCCCTGCACTTTCTGCTCAATTGTACTGTGAACCTAAAGCTGCTCTAAAACATAAAGGTATTAAAAAAAAAAAGTGTCACTTAAAGCACATTTTCTATTTCAATACAAAACAAACCAGAAGCAGCAAGTCTTTCCAACTCCCTCATGCCCTCTGCTGGTCATTGGAAGAACTGATCCAGCAGCAGAGCCAGGGACCAGAACCCTGAAGCCTGCTCCTAGAGAACCACAGCCCGCTCCCCTCGCCCCCTCTCCCAACCAAGGGATTTAGAGGTTCTGAGATAAAAGCCCCCAGGTAGGGGATCCTCTCTGAAGTCCATTTTCCCCAATTCAAGTGAGAGAAATTCCTTATAAAGTAGGAAGTATGAAATTAGAAGGCTGAAAGCACTGAGTTCTAATCATGGCTCTGTCACCCACTGGTTCTGATTTCCACTACCATCTCTCCAAACCTCACATCCTATCAAACAAGGGATGTACAATCTAGCTGCTAGAGCTGCCAAGAGGTTCAGAGACTTTTTAGGCCATGAAAGGGCTTCGGAAACCACCACCAATACACTGGTGACATGGCCCCCATGCAGAAAAGCAGTGAGACCAGCACAGAGATGATGGACAACAGGGGTCCTCAGAGGTGAGTGGCTGGACAGGAAGGGATGAGGATATGTCAAAGGAAGACCCAGCTATACCTACTATAAGAGCCCACATCCCACAAAGGTGTGGCTGGCGTTCATGAGATGACAAAGGCTCTTGTAAGCCCTTAAATGGCCTTCATGAGCAGCAGACTCAAATTTGTGTTTAACATTCCATCAGTGCAGATACCCCTCCTGCCCCTGAGGCTAGGAAGAAGCACACTCCACCGAGTTCCCCTAACCGTGCCTGCCCACCAGGATCAGTGCCAGAACATCAACCACCAGTCAGGTAGCTTCAGCAGGAAATGGCAACTAGGCCCCCAGTCCCTGACCAGAAACAAGGAAAAGCTACAAAACAAAAGAGCAACACCCACCTTCTCCTCTCTCAAGGACAAAGGACGGCAAGAGCTGAAAGAATGAAGGGATCCTACTCATTTAACAAAGGTTGACCCAACAGCCATTAAGTCAGACCTGGGCAATGAAGTGAGCCAGACTGGGGCTCTGCTTCTAATATTTGGTTCCGGGGCTACCCCTGATAGT